TCTAAGCTAATATTTTATTTCTATCCTAAATTACTTCGACCACCAGCTAGGCGGAAAGGAGTTTGTAATTTGTAACCGAATTGTTTCTTTTGCCATCTCGTAAATCTTAACTATCCTTTCTTTACTGTTCTCCGATAAAGACTCTTTTTCTCTTCTATATCTAGTTCCTCCGTACACTTTTTCTTTCTTTTATATAAACAATTTTCTGTTGACTGGTTTTCTGTTGGCCAATCATCTGTTGGTGTATTTTCTGTATTTGAGTTCACTGCTTGTGACCTCTTTTCTGGAGTATCAGTTGTCTCTCGAGATCTTTTTCCTCTTTTTGTTTACTTTGCTTATACCTTTATCTTTCTCCCAAGCTGCAAATTTCTTGCATCTTTCTCTCCATATAATCCTATAAAAACATTCTTTATAACATAACAGAGTGTCTCATAGCACTGATGGCTTGACCTGGACTTTTTGTTTATTTCTTGAAGCTTTGTAAGGTCTGTTTGACTGACCAAACTCTGCATAAGCAACTTTCTTTTTCCTGTAACTATTTCACATGAGTTGCCAAATACTACGTCTTTGAGATCTCTTATAAGTATACTCGAATCTTGTTTCCTCTTTGAGTGTGGCTCATGCCAAAGCTAATGCTTGTTTTTCTATTTCTATTTATATCTCTTTATAGGCTTCACAGCTAAAGAGATGATCTAGGTTCTTTACTACATCTACTTTGCATATAACACAATTAGCTGAAGGATATATTCGTGGGCTATGTTGATGCAATTTGTCTAGTGTTAGAAGCACTCGAAAGAGACTCTTAACTTGTTTGACTAGTTTGTTACTAATAGCTAGTGATCTACACTTCTGATCTCTTAGTTCTGATAACCTTTTCCAACATAATGCCCAGAAAGGGTTGTTTTCATGTTCAGATTTTCGTAGAGGCTCACCGCTCTTTGACAAGTACCATTCACTCTCTATTATTCTTCTTTTAACTTTCAGTATAAAGCTCTGTAGTAGGTACTCAATACTTTCGTCTTGCCAAAGTATATCAAAACTTCAATGCGGGCGGATACTGCTTGGCCATTTCCATGTATCATTGAGATAGGCCCTCTCCTTTGTTATACAATCTGCTACTTCATTCTATTTTATACCTGAATGTGCTTTAATCTTTACCAACTCTAAATTAAGTGACTTGAAATGAACTATTTCTGTAATATTGTCGAGAATTGTTTTGTTTTTTCTTTTAAGTCCTTTATTGAAGCTCTTTTTACTTAGTGCATCTCTTATTGCTAAAATTGCAGCAGCACTGTCAGTTTTTATTTGCACTTTTGAGTTTGAGGCTACTGTTAAAAG